ACTGATGCACCCAAAAGTGGCAGCCGGTGCTCTAGCGCTGGGACCACTGAAGTCAGGGGGTCCATATCCCTGGGCTTTGGAACCAACCAGTGCACTTCAGAGAGAGAGAGAGAGAGAGAGAGAGAGAGAGAGAGGAGAGAGAGGAGGAGGCCACTTGGGGAAAGGGAAAGGGAGGGGCAGCAGTGACAAACCCTTGACGGCAGGAAAGAGGAAAGGAACTCCGGAGTTTACCGGAGTTTACCTAAGGCTGGCTGGTAGAGTCGGGACACCGAGCAGTGTGGGGGCACAGCCACCTCCACAGGTGGCAGATGGTCCCACCGTGCCCTGGTTTGTGGGTTCTCTTACCTTCACACCTTCCTTGGACCTGTCCCCTCCTGTACTTCCCTCCCTGTTCACACCTGTTTTTAAATGGGATTTTACTAACGCAGTTTTCTGTAGATATTAGCGTTTAATACCACATCACAATATCGTCAATTAGCGTCAATACCACATCACAAAAAAAGCCTGCGTGGAATGCCTCCTCCCTCCGAAGTTTGGAAAGCTTTTCCATCTGGTCTTATCTCTACTCCTGGCAGATCACTAGTGACTGTGCATGTTCTACATGAACACACATTCAAAACGTGTCCATACACTGCACAGACTTAGCACTCCTCACACAGTGAAGCAGTCCTCTGCCATATGCAAGGCCAAGGCAAACACTTTCAAGGACACATGCACACCCGACCTTTGAGACACTCCTTACTAGCCCCCCTCAATTCCATCCTCGGCTCTCTCAACCACTACATTGCCAACAGGTTTCCGGAAGTTTAATATCACTATCAGTACTCTTTATGGAAAGCTGATAGGAATCTTTGAACTGCACTCTTAAAAACAGCGCACACAGCTACTTGGGCAGGGTACATTCTGTCCTTCAGATCTTGCTGGGGACTTAAGTTCTTTCTAGCACACAATTTAGTGCCTAGTCTCAGCCAGAACCAAGTCCTCTCTGCGACAATATTATCAAACCTGAAACATGCAACGCTGGAACGCTTCCGATAGGACTTGGCAGGCCATAGGGCACAGAGGAGTGCCCTGCCTCAAGTCTGGCTGCGAGAGGAAGCCCTGAGCAGAGACCCAAGCGGGTATGGTTCCCAGAGTGAGGTTTTTTCCTTCCAGTCGCTTCACCAGTTACTAAGGATTAGTGAGGTGGAAACGCATTTGAGGTGAAGGCCAGGGAGGTGGAAAAGACAGTCATAAGGTCGAGCAACAACCTCAGTGACACCGGAATGTCTGCAAACATGTAGACAAACGCAGCCATGCCTCCGCCCAGCCCTGGCCCAGCTGCCCAAGACACGCGCAACGCGCGTGCCCTTGCACTCAAGGGACAGACAACAGTCACAGAGCACTGACATCACGCAGACAAGAAGGGTGAGGGGCACTCAACACTCCCATGGAAGGGCTCCGCTGTTGCCAACCTGGAGGGGACAGGAAAAGCTAGCCAAAAGCTAACCAAAAGGTGCCCGCGCCTTCTGTAAAGCACGTTTACCTAAACGCCGCAGTTCGTATCCGGGCTGTTCCTGCTCCTGTTCCACTAAGGATTATGTCGACGCAGGAACCGTGGGTGCGCGTGGGTGGGCCAGGCGGGGAGCCTCCCCTTCTGGGTCCGGTTGGTTTTATTGCGGGAGCGGGAGGGGGAGGAGGAAGGGCTGAGGGAGGGGAGGGGAATCCCAAATTAAAATAACCCCCAGTTCGGAGGACGTTCGGTGGCATCGGATATTCACACCAGCAAGTCACATTACATGCGCTTTCGCCAGATGGCGGCGGGTTCAACTTCCCGGGATCTCGCAAAGTCAGGCTGTGCGGCCGGGCGCGCGCCGCAGTGTGGGAACGCGGGCGGCCCGGGACAGCCGGGAGCGGCGCTGCGCGGGCCGCGGCCGGGAACGCGCGCCGGGCTCACCGGTTTCGGACGAGAAGGTCTCGGTCCCCAGGGAGCGGCACCGGGCAGTCCCGGCGCAGGGTGACTGCGTCGCGGAAGTTAGGACTCAGCCGGGTCACTACCAGCTTCTGCATGGTTCGGGGGATGGCGGAGCCCTGGAAGTCCAGGAAGTGGCGGGAGTAAGACATGTCCACGATGCTTCGGGCGCCGGCGGGCGCCAGGCGCAGCATGGCCCGCCCTCGCCTCGGCCCGCAGTCTGCGCTGCCGCCACCGCCGGTCGGGG